CCCACCGGTTCCGGTTTTGAGAAAGGCGGAAAAAAAGGGGGAGGCACTCCTTCTCTCCTCTTTTTTCGTAGCTCTAGGTTCCCCCCTCTCATGAAACGAGGGGGGAAGGAGGGGAGGAACCCTGCAGAAAAGAAAGGGGGGGGTCTGTCTTTGGGTGGGGTTATAAGGAAGAGGACAGTTTCCCTCCCCCGCTATCTTCTTGTTAAGGGGTGAGATTGACTCTCTAGGAGGATCTCCGAGCAGTGGCGCATCTCTCTTTCCCTCTTCGTAGCTCTAGGTTTCCCCCCTCTTCTCTCTCCTCCCAGTTGGGCGTAAGAAGCGAGGGAGGGTCACGTGATTGCCCCCTCCTGCCCGCACAGCCCCTCCCCCTCCCTTGTTCTCGAACTTGGCGCTTTTCAAACAGGAAGCGGAAGAGGGAATCTCTCTCCTCCTGGCCCCTCTTTCCCCCGCCACCTCTATGGTCTCAGGCGGACGCTCTCCCCCTTTCTTCACTCCGGCTGAACCTCCTTGGGGAGGCGGGGGGGGGGAAGGAGAATAAGGGGACTCCCCAAGGAGAGAGGAGGGGGGGTCTCCTCCAGGCAATCCGGATCGGAAACCGGTTTCTCCCTTTTGGTTTGCAGGGCAGTCCCCGGCTTGCAACGGGAGGGCATCCGCCTTCTTTCCTCCCCCCGGAAAGACCCCACGTTCCCCGCCCCCCAATCGCTAGGGCCAAGGAAGGCGGCGAGGATCAGGGCCAGGCCTGGGCGAGGAGGTGGGAGAGAGAGAGAGAGAGAGAAAAGGGTGTGGACTTCTCTCCACGGGATCTTTCATATGGTGGTGGGGGGGGAGAGACTGAAAGGGAGATCGATTTCCGCCCAGGAAAAGGTCTCCCCTTGGATGTCCTTCTTCTGGTCTGGTCTGAAGGTGCAATTCAGGGCCGTCGGCTGTGCAAAAGACCTGCCCCCTGGATCCTCCTTCTTCCTCCTAGGGATTCGCCCTCCTGCTTTTTCTTAAAAGGTGGAGCAAAAAGGGCCTTGAGAAAGAGGCCAAGAAAAGCTCCGGTCTTTCCATGTGGAGAGAAGGACCAGAAAAGGCAACCCAGGCCCTCTGCTTCTGGAGTGTTCCCTCTCCCGGCAGGTCTTTTGCAGAGTGAATGGCTCTGAAGAGTCCGTTCCAGATCAAGGGAATCACAAAACGCTTTGCTTTCGAGCAGGGGCAGCCCCGACACCAAGACCAACCAACCCACCCTCGGTTGCCGCCCCTCCAAGCCCTTAGAGGTTTGGAGTGAGCTCCAAAGGAAGAGCAGTGAGTTCCAAGGGGTGGCAAGACCGCAGGCGAGAAAAGTACTGAGACCTGAACTCGGCCCGCCCTGGGTGGGCAACCCCAAGACACACCAGGCCCTTGGCCCACGAAGGGGGCACGGAGGTCGAGGAGCCCTTTTGGAGATGCCCCCTACTTTGAGATCATCGAAGGGGCCGAAAATAACAAAAGGTCCCGTGAGAATAGAGGGTCCGGTCCAGCCCTCGTTCCGCTCCATTGCACGGGGGTTTTGTGTTTTATTAGAGGTTGATTTTGTTCACCATCCTTAGTGCAGCTTTGGTTTGATTCATTTTAAGGTTTTGTTTTTCACTTTTAAATGTTACCTTTTAATGATGTACCGAAACGGCCTTGGGTCCTTTTTAAGGAGAAAGGCGGGGTAAAAATATTTTAAATAAATAGTGGGAAACTTTTGACTTAAGGGAGACGCTCCCTTTTGACTTCAGACAAATACCATAAGAATAGTAATGTGTCTAAGAACATAGTATTAGAATAAAAATTTCTACTCCCTAGACCAGGAATGAAACTTAATTTCTGCTATATGCAGGTATCACTCCCCCCTTCTAAATTCTGACAATAGAAACTATGCTGAATCTAAATTTCCTCCTCTTGTTTCAGCCTTTCCTGAACAATAGGCAACACACAGAGGCAAAAGTCTAGATATAGCACGTACAAATAATCCCAAAATAATAAGAACCACAATTCGAATTACGGATGGTCCTGTGACAACAGAGGGTCCGGTCCACTACATCACACAGCGTTTTCTCAATATTGATTTTGTTTGCCATCCTTAGTGCAGCTTCAGTTTGGTTCATTTTAAGGTTTGTAGTCTTGCTGTTTTTCACGTTTAAATTTTGCCTTTTTTCTGAGGCACGTAAGCGATCTTGCATCTTTTTTCATGGGAAAGGTAAGATAAAAATATTTTAAATTGACAGTGAGATATCTACTCTCTTGTATTCTGCTGTTTTCATTGCATGTGTCAGAGGGAAGTTATGCCTGCCTGCAGAGAGAGAGAGAGAGAGAGAAAGGAGGGGGAGAGGGGGGGGAGGGAGATGGGGATGTAGCCCCGTTCAATAGAAACACGAGGAAGGCACATCCTGGATGGAAATGTTTTTTATTTCCTTTATCCGTAAAGCCTCCAGGCTGATGTTTTCCTTTCTCCTTTTCTCCTAGGAAGGGGTGAGACGGAGGTGATTTCTCTTTGCTGTTTTTGGGACCCAGAAGAAAGAACCCAAATCCCACATCCCTCCCAACGTTTGCCAGGTCAGTGAGATTTCAAGAGGTGGCTTAAGGAGCCTTGCCCCCCTCCACACACTCTCTCCTCTCCGTTTCCCTGTCCCGGAAGGGATTTGAATCCAGGTCTCCTGGTTTCCAGTCTGGTACTCCATCCACGACACCACACGTCTTCTTTGGACATGTGCAGAGTGCTGGTGTTCGAGGGTATGGTTTCCTTGGCATCTGATGAAAGAGGGGCAGCGTCTCCTCAGTCCACCCATCTCCCCCTCCCATCATCTCCTCTGGGAAGGCATTTCCACACACCCCATGTGGGGGAAGTTTCTTCCATTCTACATTCTCTCTTTTTTCCTTCCCTTCTCTTTCGCCTCCATCCTCTTCTCTCCCGTTTACCCCAGTAGAAAGGTTTACTGGCTGTGTGATGGTTCCTTCCCCTTCCCGCCTCTTTTCTTTCTACCATCATCCTCTCCCAGATATGCATCCATGCTTTCTCCATCCAGAAACCTTCCCACCCTTTAAGCAATCGCTTACTTTCTTCACCTCTGCCGTTCTGGCCTCTATCTCTCTCTCACTCTCTGCTCCTGGTGCTTCTTATTTCTACTCTCCTTCCTTTTCTCTCCCCTTCACATCCCACGTGGGGGGATGGCGTTTTCCCTTTTCTCCTTTGTCCCATTTCCCCTCTTTCCTGGCTGGACCCTCCTTGTGGAGACAATGGAACCGCGGATCAGGACTCCACACTCCTTTTGGGTCCAAGACACGTCTCTCGCACTCATGTCTGTCAGTCCCGATCCCAGCCACCAAGGCAATACTTAACAGTCCACTCTTCTTACCTTGGTCCAAGCACAGGGTGGCCTGGTTGTTAGATTTGTGCCCAACAAATTCTCCCGGTCTGCTTCACCGGGGTGTCAGATGTCTTGGGTTATCCCACCTGCGCAGCCGAGGTCCTCGCCAGGGAAAGTAAGTTGTTGAAATCGATGGGACCACGACAGGAGACTTGGGTCCCGGCTGAGCCCCAAATTGTGAGAAATGCTCACACCCTTGTTACTTAAATGCAGGAACCAGACAACCACAAATACAGGCAGCTCTCCTTTATTTAAAAAACCCGTTTTGCAAAAGCGGGTGTCCGAACTGGGTAGGCACACCCATCAACCCAGGCAGAATGATCTTTATCCCCTACTCCCGGCCCTTGTTTCCCTTTTGGTCTGGGCGATCCGAGATGCGCCTGAACTGATCAGAGGAAGTCCCGCCTTTCTTTCCATCTCCCTCTCCTCTCTTTACCTAGACCCCAGACTCTTAAGTTCTATCCCTCTTACGAAGATGCCGGCCACAGAGACTGGTGAAATGTTAGGAAGAACAACCTTCAGAACACGGCCAAAGAGCCCGAAAAACCCACAACAACCATTAGATCCCAGCGGTGAAAGCCTTCGTGAATTCATTGGTCAAAATCTACTTAATATTTGGATCCTACACCTAATTGGGTACAAACATGTGGAAAACAAACACATTGGTCCCCTATAGATAGTTGGGGGTCTGCCCACCTCCCCTTGATGACCTTCTTCTAGGATCCGCCACATTGTCTGGAAGGAAGTGTATCCCAACTTCCTTATCTTATTAACATGTTTCTTTTACCAAGGCGGACTCGGATGTATGGCCTTCAAACTCTAGCTCCTGGCTGGGTTTTATGTTTTGACTATTTTGGAGTGCTCCAACACTGGAATCATTCAAGAAAACCTTAGATCATCACCTGGCAGATATGCTTTGACTGTATTCCTGCGTTGAGCAGGGGGTTGGACTTGATGGCCTTTTAGGGCCCTTCCAGCTTCACTTTTCCATTTATTCTCTCCTTCCATGTGTGTTTGGACTTTGTCCAGTCGTGTTCGACTCTAGAGGGCGGTGCTCATCCCCATTTCCAAGCCATAGAGGCAGTGTTTTGTCCGAAGACAATCTTCCGTGGTCACATGGCCAGTGCGACTTAGACACGGAACGCTGTTACCTTCCCACCGAGGTGGTCCCTATTAATCTACTTGCATTTGCATGCTTTCGAACCGCTAGGTTGGCGGGAGCTGGGACAAGCGACGGGCGCTCACTCCGTTGCGTGGATTCGATCTTACGACTGCTGGTCTTCTGACCCTGCAGCACAGGCTTCTGTGGTTTAGCCCACGTCCCTTTTATTCTTAACTGGGCTATCTGCTAATTGAAAGGTGAGGAGGGTGTGAAATATAGGCATTTGATTTAATACAAAGTTGGTTGCTGGAAAATCGTGCCCAAGGACTGTTGGCTGTTATCTGTTAGAGTGATGTGCAAACACTCCTGGCAGAGAAGCACCCCTCTCACAGAGGGCGGGGTGATCTCTCATTCTGCCTTTCTGCTTAGGGCATATGTTCAAAGACTTTCTCCAGCCAATCCTAGTGACAATTAGGTAACTAGTGTCCTATCTGAATTCTCACAACATTCTGTCTAATCCTGCTATATTAATAAAAGAGTTCTTAAGGCAGTTTCTTCAGGCTCCACTGGCGGACATCTGCGTTTTCTCTCTAAAGCTAATTGCCTTCCTATTGTTCTGTGATCACCTACAGTAGCTAAGAACATAACATGTAAAATAAAATTTTCTACTCCAAGACCAGGAATAAAGCTAATTTCAGCCATATCCAGGTATCCATTCCCCCCTTTTAAACTCCGACAATAGAAACAACACTGAATTTAAATCTGCTTGTCTTTGTTTAGCCCTTCCTGGTCTTGGAGTTCAACAACACACAGAGACAAAATTCTAAATAGAACACGTACAAATAATCCCACACTAGTAAGAACCACAATTCCAATTACAAGATATATAGTAGGGTGGAGAAATCCGGCATCCATGATGTTATCCAAGACCAACCCCATGAACCTGAATTCAACTCTTCATAAGTTCTATCCCTACCACCACAATTCCTGCCAATCAAGCCTGCTAACAGACAGACAGACCTTTATTGGCATGAAAGAGAATAAAACATAAGCAAACTGGTTCATTAAGTGCCCAACGCATACAAAATCCCAGAGGGAGACAAGCAGAAGACCAACCCTCCCAAAAAACATTGAATTGAAAGTGAAACTTTGCTGATGAAATATGCAATTCTTTCCGGAATGTCAGGCAGCTCCACAGATAACATAAAGCCGACTTTGTCCACAGCAGATTTTCTCTCCATTGTGAACAGGATCAGTGCCACAAATTTGGAACGATCACTCTGGTGGAGTGGACAGTGCAGACACATGTGGGCAAGAGTTTCCAATGCTCCCTGCTGGCATGAGCAATGTCTTTTGAGGTACGGGATTCCTTTGAACCTACCTTAAAGTTAGGCTGCAGGCTTGACATTGCATCTGGCTAGGGTGAATGGCCCGGCATTTTTCAATCTAGTTTTCCAATCTTAAAGGGGATGTGGGAAAACAGTGGTGAGCAGGTCTTAACTGGCTGTCTTCCATAGTTCCTGTAATTCAATGTCCAAAATTCTTCTTTTGATCATTTGGAAGGTTTGCCCTTGATTTAGTATTCCACAGTTCTGTTAATTCACCATTTCAAACCTGGACAGGAGCGTGAGTCTGTCTGTCTGTCTGTCTGTCTGTCTGTCTCTCTCTCTCTCTCTCTCTCTATCTATCTATCTATCTATCTATCTATCTATCTATCTATCTATCTATCTATCTATCTATCTATCTATCTATCTATTTAATTTATATGCCACCCACACTACCCAAAGGTCTCTGGGCGGCTTACAGCATTCAAAATACAATTAAAAAGTCATGACAATTAAAATGCAATTGAAATAGATACTCTAAAAATTCCCATTAGGACCCACAGCTGATATTATTTCAATTAAAAGCCTTCTGGAACAGGAAGGTTTTCACCTGGCACCAAAATGTCACCAGCGTTGGCGCCAGACGAATCTCCGTCGGGAGAGTATTCCATAGTCTGGGGGCAGCTGCCAAAAAGGCCCTTTGTCTACAAGCTGTCCCTCTTACCTCCTTGAGGGACGGCTCTTTCAAAAGGGCTCCCTGGCTAGATTTTAACTGCCGGGTAGGTTCATATTTATTTTATTATTTATTTATTTTATTTAATTTATATCCCGCCTATCTAGTCACGATGGACTACTCTAGGCAGCCAACAACAAAGATAAAATACAATAAAATAAAACAAAAAATTACAAAACAATTAAAGTAAAGAAACAATAAAGGAGAAAAGAAAATCAAAAGTAATCTGGTGAGAAGGCCTGCCGAAACAACCAGGTCTTTAATAGGTTCTTAAAGGTACCCAGCGAGGAAGCTCCGCGAATACCAGGAGGTAAATTATTCCACAAGCGAGGAGCCACCGCCGAGAAGGCCCTATTTCTTGTTTTCTCTTTTCGGGCCTCCCTCGGCGTTAAGCTCCTCAGCCTCACCTCCTGGCTCGCCCGTGTGATCCGGGTAGAACTTGGTG